GGGGGGGGGGAGTAGTTATTGAGCCTGAAGCAGCTGGGAAGCACATTGATATAAATCATTTTCCACTCAGTTCCTCACAGCACATGTTCTGTGTGCAACAGTTCTACATCACACTTTTGACGACTTTGTATTCAAACAGATGCAACATGTCAGATGGTGAAACGTGAACGTCTCGCGCATCAATTTGAACACATTTCCTTCGAACTATATTTCTGTAAGCTGAAATGCCTGCAGACATGGTAGTCAGTGTTCTGAATATGTTTTACTTTAAATCTATGCGTTCAAAAGACAATGAATGAAAACAGACCATTGGCGGATGAGAACAAGACATGAAGAGAAAAGCAAGTGGACATTAAGAGATGAGTGTGGAGAGAAAACCCACTGCTGCTAACGATGATGACGATGATGATGCTTCTCACTTCATACTGAACGGACAGCCTTAAGTGAATGGAGATTTACCTCTCTCTGTGCAATCATATCAACATACTCCAGATACGGCAGCAGCCCATTACGGCCCCGCAGAGAGAGACCTATCATGCTGTCTGACTAATATCTCACGGCAGCATCATTGGACAAGTAATAGAGAGGAAGAGCAGAGAATGCTTCGCTGCTTCATTGCTTTGAAATAAAGGCGAGCGTTTGGAATAAATCATGTGGTGTTTCTTGGACAATGGAGGGCATCTGCTGATTGCTTTTTCACATTAGATAATGAGAACGGAAGCTCGCGGTATGAGGCCGAAGCCTCATCGTGAGCTGCTGTGTTCCATTATACGCAGTATGTGTCGGCCCACTCTGAGATGAAAGGAACGGCACTGTTGTTGGTTTTTTTTTTGTGTGTTTATTACAAATGTGGAACTTTTGTTTTACTGTTGGCTACAAATGTGTGAAGAAATTACTCAAAAACATGAAAAAAAAAAAATCTATCTTGTTTATAATGCATGTGGGCCTTAGACTGTCTCATGGGATCATGTCCAGTCTGCAGACTGACCACCAGCAGCAGCAGCAGCAGTGTTTTACCTGAGCGCCGGTGTTGGACTGTAGTTCCTGGCTGTGGCGCTGGAGGGCAGCATGGAGCTCTTCTTCAGGGAGGCGGTGCTGGAGGTCAGCATGGGCGGTCTGGAGGGCAGAGCGAGAGACACCGGCCTGGCTGTGGGGGGACACACACACACACACACACACACACACACACACACACACACACACACTCTCTTACAGTACAGGTCTACATGACGAGAGCTGTTCAAACTGACATGTGGATAACAGAAATAATCCTCACTCACGTTTAGCGCCCGATGATCTCCTGCTATTACTGGCAGCAGCCACCTGGTGCTCCTCAGAGATGTTGAGCCTCTTGAGGACGTCAGCCAGAGCCATCTTCAACAGCTGGATTTCATCTTCCTGCATCTGCATCCTCTGCTCCAGGTAGGTCAGCCGGTCGCCCACGTCCAGGCCGCTGGCCGCAGAGCTGCGGTCATCTGATGGATAGATGGATAGATGGATAGAATGATAGATGGATAGAGATGTTGTTCATTTTCTATGCTTTTGACCAGCATTATATAACTGATGACATGCTTAACCACCATTAAAATGAGCAGATGAAACCTGAGGCATCCATTGACCATGTGCAAGACTCAGAACCATGTCTAATGTTTACATGTTTAAATATGCAGAATTTCACAGAGCAAAAGAAAGAGCAAACTCATAAAAGACTCGCAGAGCAACAGTCAGTGAGACTTTGTTCACCGACTGAGAGTCGACAAATATAACCACACACACACACACACACACACACACACACAGAAAGGTGCCAAGAAAACAATGAATATTGACTCATACTGCAACCATACAACCGTTTGTTAAGAGAAAATCTTGAGAACGAATAAAAACAATCCTCCAGTCCACTAAGAGAAGTACTGGTGAAGACATAAAAACATAGCAAAAGTACTTCCACATCCACATTTTTAGCCAAAGCATGAAGCCAAAGTATTATCTGCATCATTCACTTATGTAATTCTAGCATAAATGCTCCTTTAAGGCTCATCTCTCTTGGCACAGACAGGTAAACACAATCAATGACGCAATAAGCTCTTTAACATCCCCTCTTTATGGGTACGTGGTAAAGATCAAGCTAATGAGGTCGCAGCACAGCTGGGCACGACAGATCATCCACAAAGCAGCGTGTAAACAAAGGTAGCAGAGAGCACATCGAAAAAACACTTTCAACTTCTCTTTCAATCAGTCTGTACTTGGTATGTTAACGCTGGAACAATAGTTCAGAGGCGGATACCGTGGGAGACACTGGACTCTGATGAGCAGTCAGGGGGCCTCTGCTGGCCGGTCGGGCCCTCCTCCACCACACCAGACGTCTTCCTCCTCTTCCTCTCCTCTCGCGAGCACAGCCTTTCGCTCCTCTTTCCTCCTCCGGCTCCAGTCAGACAGGCCGGCTCTCCCTCCATCTGATTCCGATCCACTGGCTGGTGTCCACTAAGATCTCATCTCTGTTGCTCCACTTGTGTCACAAACACACTCACGGAGCAGCCGGTCCGGTGTTTGTCAGCTTCCGAGCAGTGTAACAGTGTCTACGGTGTGTTGTGATCCTCTCACGGTCCCCTTGGTGGTCGCTTGATGAGTATGACAACGTTTAAAGCTCTTTTGCTCAGGGTGTGTGCTTATATAAAAGGTGGGGGGTGGGGTTGATGATGCTTAAAAACTCAGTAGTCGTCCAATTCAGCCTAAATTGTCTGTGCATGTGCATGTGTGTGTGTGTGTGTGTGTGGGTGTGCAGACTACAATGATAATCCCTCAGACTGAGCCTCTGTGACCCCGCCCCCGCACATAAGCCCCACGTCCACTATGAGAGATGGAGACACAGAGAGGAAACAGCAGTAATAAACCAGTGTTGCCCCGATAGTAAACATCTCGTTCATCTCAGGGAGCTACAGAGGTCCCAGTCTAAAAACGATGCTTTAGTTTCAGAGCGAACACCAAGCCATCAGTTATACAATGACGTACTATTTACCAGCAGATCGACGAGACAGAGATAGTTTACTATAAGTAATGGATAAACTGTTGTGAAAAGATAAATGGCTGAAAAAATTAATTAAAGTAATGGTCGACATAGGCTCTATTCAGTCGTTTCAGTTCAACCACAGGTGTGATCAATAATATTAATCATGGCCCTGGTATTGTGCATGCTGGCTCACTGGAATGGCTGTGACATAATCGATTAGATCAACTACACCCGTGTTTACCCTGCTTTGTCAAAATGTCTACTGTAAAAAAGTGATGAATAATTGAAACGTCCAGCCCCGACCCCTCCGAGTTATATTAGTGTGACAGCTTAAAGGTGCAGCGTGTGGGAGTTGGTGGCATCCAGTGGTGAGTTTGCAGATTGCAACCACCTGAAACTTCTAGTGTGTCGGAGAACTACGGTGGCTGACGTGAAAAACACGAATGGCCAGTGTTTGTTTTGTCCATTCTGGGCTACTGTAGAAACATGGCGACCGGCTATGTAGATATAAACAAGTCATTCTAAGGTAACGAAAACACTATAATTATTTTTTGTATGTGATTGTACACTAAAGAAAATGTATTAATAGGGTATTCCATTTCTGTCAATAGAGGCCCGTAAATGCGTCACATCGTTCCTTTAAGTAACAGTCATAAACAGTGAAATCCACTGTTGAATCTATGTTTATATAATTAATAGTTCGATAAAATCGGGTTTAAAATCGGTTGAAACGATCACATTTGGAACATGGCGGTGTTGATGGAAGGGGACTTGAGTTCTTGTGATGTGGAGTCTGACAAGTAACTGCATGATGCTGTGACGCTTGTAAAGTTTTTAGTTTAGTGTCTATGAAGCCTCAGACTGCCAACCTGCTGTAGATGCATGTTATACAATATACATCTCAGTTCTTGGGAAGATATCAGAGATTTTCCTCCTAACAGAGATGATCTGCTGTGGGCGAACACTTCCAGTATAATCATCGGAGCATGCATCCTGCAGTAATCCGCCTCTCGTGGAGAGTTGTGACTCTGTGTAGGCCTGGGATTTTCTGTTCGTCCTCTTGTCCCGGCCGTGACAACATCCTCGTGCCACCTCCACACACCCCATATGGGATTGGGATTAGAATAGCACATAATCCCAGCGCTGTAAAAGGGAATTAGCAGCCCAAAGCTCAATCTCTGCACTTACTCAGCTACACAAAGAACAGGCAGCCTCCCTGTGGACGCCTTTCATGCAAATGTAAACACACATATACAAACATTAACTCTATCTCTGCACCTCTGACTCACACACACACACACACACACACACACACTCACACGTGTGAACACAGCCAGGAGAGCGCTAACAGTTTCCAAATTCATACGCCTGTAATACATGTTAGCAAAATGAAAATGCATGAAGGCACAGAGACGCAGCGGAGTGTTTTAATCTCTGCTCGCAGATGGTGTTTCTTGAAAGAAGGAACAGCATCTGTCTGCTCATATCAGCAGCACCCTGCATGCTGACACACACATGCAATCCTTCTCATATTAGTCCACTGATGCTAATGTCCCTGAGGGGACTTGGCTTTTCCCTGAATCTCCTCAGCTGAGGCGCATTCCACAACACCCACAGTTTGACTGTGTGATGCATCGGACAGGTATGCGGGACTTGTGTGTAAAGTTTAACTCGCTTGTTCAAAAGATTTGTACAGGTTAAGTAAAAGTCTGCAGCGGCAACGTCATAGAAGACAAGAGGAAATTACCCAATTTGGCTTTTCATGAGGTTATCCAACAAGCTGGGAAAGTGTAGTCAATCATATGTATATGTTGATATTTCCCAGAGGGCAACAAGTTGATTACAAAAAATCTCAAATAAAGTCCTGACCTGTTAGAATCTGAAAAGTTAAAGCACACGAAAGAACCGTCCTCAAGATAAACATAATTAAAGGAGCTGATTTAATTTATTTTGTGGATACAGGGTATTTTTTTCTAACTTTGAGTCTTTTTTCATTGTTTTCTGGTCACAAATTAGAACAAATCTGTTTCAAACCTGTGCAAACTCACAGGAATGTAAACCCATTTTGTGGTGGATTGCAGGAAGTTTATACTTGTCTTTTTGTTGATTACAGGTAAAGATGCACTTCATTCGTACAGAACCCCTGCGCTCCGTTTGATCACTTGCTCCTCATAGTATACAGCAGTTAGCACCACAAACAAAATGCATTCATCTGCATTGTGTCGGGGGTGGAGTTGAAACTGTCTGCATCGCTACGCACCACGAGACGAGGGCTAAAGGAGAACTTTTCTTTTTTTTGGGGGGGGTCATTTACATGAAACTGGCCCATCAGCTACCTGTCATGAAGTCAGTGTCGGGCGCCAGCAGGGAGTCGCTGTGGTAGCTCTCCTTCAGCGAGGGCCTCCTCGGCAGGCCGTGGGCCGTCTCCTCCATCCCCAGGCCCTGGTCCACCGGCTCCTCCATGTGTGCGTCTCCCTCCTCCATGGCCCTGACGGAGTGTGTCGGAGTGATCCTTCGTGCTCCTGCTAATTCTCTTATTACGCTTCACTGCCGGGTTAATTCACCTTCTCTAAACCACCAGAGGCCACCACCACTCCCCCCGCTGTCCTGGGAGGAGTGTGTGCAGGGTGCAGGGAGAGGGTGATGTCACACAGACTACAGATTAAGGACCTGGTAAACCATCTGAAGCTCAGGGGGGGAGGACAAGTCTATATGAGAGAGTATGCGAGTGTAGACAGGGGTCAGGGAGGCCTCACACGGGGGAAACATCTTCACATAAAAGACCCCAAAAATAACTTACTGGAACAGCACAACTCCTGTCTGCAAACACACAGCTACCGCTTCTTCAAGGAAATGACGTGGAACAATAAAAGACCTGTGTGCTCAGAACACACACACACACACACACACACACACACACACACACACACACACA